CCCCACACACACACACACACCACACACACACCCCCAAAACCACACCTAACAACACACAAAACCCCCACACACACACACACCCCAACCACAACACACGCACAACACACCACACACACACCACACACAACACCACAACACACACCACACACATCACAACAACACCACACACACACCACGCACACAACACAACACCACACACACCTACACCACACCGCCACATACACCACACAACACACACACATACACTACACACACACCACACACACACACACCACACACACACACACACACCACACACACACACACACAACACACACACACACAACACCACACACACACACACACACACACACACACCACACACCACACACACACACAACACACACACACACACAACCACACACACACCACACCACACACACACACCACACACACACAACACACCACACACACACACACACACACCACAACACACACACACCACACACACAACACACACACACCCACACCACAACATCACACACACACACACACACACACCACACACACACACCACACACCCCACACACCCACACAACACACACACACCACACACACACCCACCACACACACCACACAAACCACACACACACCACAACAACCCACACCACACACACCACACACACACACACACACACACACACCACACACACACCACACACACACCACAACACCACACACCACACACACACCACACACACCACACACACACCACACACCACACCCCACACACACCACACACACACCACACACACACACACCACACACACACCACACACACACCACACCACCACCACACACCACCCACACACCACCCACACACACCACCCACCCCACACCACCACACACACCACCACACACACACACCACACACACACACCACACCACACACCACACACACACACCACACACACACACACACCACCACACACACACACACACACACACACACCACACACACACACACAGACACACACACACACACTCTCTCTCTCTCTCTCTCTCTCTCTCTCTCTCTCTCTCTCTCTCTCCTCTTCTCTGATATTTCCCACTTTTCAAGATTATAGAATTTAGTCCTAGGCACATGTCGATTAGATACTAGGCCTCTGTGTGCGTGTTTGTGTGTGTGCGCGTGTATGTATGTGTGTGTACTCGCCTAATTGTACGCACTTAATTGTGGTTGCAGGCGCCGAGACTCAGCTCCTGGCCCCGCCTCTTCACTGATCGCTACTAGGTCTCTGCTCCCTGAGCTTTGTCGTACCTCGTTTTAAAACTATGTATGGTTCCTGCCTGCACTACATCACTTTCCTGACAACTCTATGACTGAAGAAATACTTCCTAACATCCCTGTGATTCGTCTGAATCTTCAGCTTCCAATTATAACCCCTTGTTTGTGTGTCTCCTCTCTAGAACATCCTGTCTCTGCCCACCATATCTATTCCACACAGTATTTTGTATGTCGTTATCATGTCTCCCCTGACCCTCCTGTCCTTCAGTGTCGTCAGGCCGATTTCCCTCAACCTTTCTTCGTAGGTCATTCCCCTTAGCTCCGGAAGTAACTTTGTTGCAAACCGTTGCACGTTCTCTAATTTCTTGACGTGCTTGACCAGGTGTGGGTTCCAACTGGTGCTGCATACTCCAGTATGGGCCTGACGTACACAATGTACAGTGTCTTGAACGATTCCTTACTAAGGTATGGGAACGCTGTTCTCAGGTTTGCCAGGCGCCCGTATGCTGCAGTAGTTATCTGGTTGATGTGTGCTTCCGGAGACATGCTCGGTGTTATGGTCACCCCAAGATTCTCCTTGAGTGAGGTTTGCAGTCTTTGTCCGCCCAGCCTATACTCTGCCGTCTTCTTTGCTCTTCCCCAGTCTTGATGACTTTGCATTTAGCGGGGTTGAATTCGAGAAGGCAGTTGCTGGACCACGTGTCCAGCTTGTCCAGGTCTCTGCAGTCCTGCCCTTTCCTCATCTGATTTAATTCTTCCCATTAGCTTAACATCGTCTGCGAACAGGGACACTTCTGAGTCTATCCCTTCCATCATGTCATTCACTATACCAAAAATAGCACTGGTCCTAGGACTGACCCCTGTGGGACCCCACTCGTCACAGGCTCCCTTTGTGATACCTCATCACGCACTATGACTCGTTGTTGCCTCCCTGTCAGGTATTCTCTTATCCATTGCAGTGCCCTTCCTGATATATGTGCCTGATCCTCCAGCTTCTGCACTAATCTCTCGTGAGGAACTGTGTCGAAGGCCTTCCTGCAGTCCAGGAAAATGAAATCAACCCAGCCCTCTCTCTCGTATCTTACTTCTGTTACTTAGTCATAAAGCTCCAGAAGGTTTGTGACATAGGATTTGCCTTCCATGAATCCGTGCTAGTTGTCGTTTATAATCTTGTTCCGTTCCGGGTGCTCCACCACTCTCCTCCTGATAATCTTCTCCATGACTTTGCATACTGTACACGTCAGTGACACTGGTCTGTAGTTTAGGGCTTCATTTCTGTCTCCTTTCTTTAAAATGAGGACTACATTTGTCTTCTTCCATACCCCAGGTAGTTGCCTAGTTTCAAGGGATGTGCTGTTTATGGTTACCGGCCCACAGCATCTCTGCGCCTTCTCTAAGGACCCATGGGGAGATGTCCGGTCCCATCGCCTTTGAGGTATCAAGGTCACTTAACAGCTTCTGCACCTCCTCCTCAGTTGTGTGTATGTCATCCAACACTTTTGGTATATTTCCTGTTGGTGTTCACCTCTGTGCTGTCTTCCCAGAGCCCTTCCTATCTTTACTGTGAATACTTCCTTGAATCTCGTGTTGAGCACCTCACATACCTCTTGATCGTTTCTTGTGAGTTCCCCACCTTCTTTCCTCAGCCTGATCACCTGGTCTTTGACTGTTGTCTTCCTCCTAATGTGGCTATAGAACAGTTTCGGGTCATACTTGACTTTTGATGCTATGTTGTTTTTCGTACTGTCGCTGGGCCTTCCTCCTAATCTGTGCATACTCGTTTCTGGCTCTTCGACTAATCTTATTTTCCTGGGTTCTTTGCCTTTTGTACTTTTTCCATTCTCTAGTGCACTTAGATTTTGCCTCCCTACACCTTCCGGTAAACCAAGGGCTCGTTCTGGTCTTCCCATAATTTCTGTTGCCCTTGGAAACAAACGTTCCTCTGCCTCCTTGCATATTGTTGTTACGTATTCCATTTCGTTTACTGACTTTCCTACCAATTCTCTGTCCCACTGAACCTCCTGCAGGAAGTTCCTCATACCTGTGTAGTCCCCCCTTTTATAGTTTGGCTTTTCCCATTCAACTCCTATTACCCTCTCCACTTGTAACTACTATGTATTCAAAACTTTCAACTGTTTTAAGATTGTATCGTTATAGTGAAGTATATAATCACTTACTGAATATATATTACACACACACACACACACACACACACACACACACACACACACACACACACACACACACACACACACACACACACACACACACACACACACGTATACTGCCCAATTACTATCATTATCGCTAAAGGTCTCTAAGTTTAAGATCATTTTGTGATAATTCTAGTGTCATTTGCAGTTTATAACCATTACTCACTGATTGGTGCATGGGAAATTTACCTTTGCGAGTAGTTAAAGTTTTTCTTATTCATAACGTGTTCAAGGTGAGCTGAATTGTGTGATTGGTGACGCTGGGCCGTCGATTTCCTGCAAAGAGGTCAGTAAGTCTCTATGTTTTTGATCAGCCCTTGGCAAGGTCCATTTCCTTATTTAATACGTAGGAAAAATGAGCTTTGGCCGTGGCTGTAGTATAGCTCCGTGTTGTCCTAGTTGGGCAAGGAGCACCAATCATAACCCAGCCCCGTGTGCTATTGTTAAGTAGCAATAAAAGTTTCCTTATCCGAGTCTTCTGTATAGGAGAAACTTTACCATCATCATTTCTTTGGGTTGAGTTAGCATTTATTTAGTTATTGATCCATAATAATATTTTTTTTCTATTATTTTACCAATATTTTCTTCAAATGTTTTAAACGTGACAGTTTAGTTAAATAACTTTGTCTGATATTCCTCCCTTTATTATTTGTTTTTGCTAACATTTTTTTTGTAGGTGACTTAGGTGTGTCTACTTACCTGTCCAGAGAGAAGCAGATAACCTCAGGAGAACACGTGATCACTACCAACACCTTAATTAGTTGGAGCAAGTTACCTGTATGGGAGGGTGAAGACTCTGTAGAGCACCTCCAGTTGTCAATGACAAACATTTGTAACATTTCCTCGGACTGCAAGACTTTATGAATTATTGTATGTTGGAGAGAAAGAGAGAATATGTGTGTGTGTGTGTGTGTGTGTGTGTGTGTGTGTGTGTGTGTGTGTGTGTGCGTGTGCGTGCGTGCGTGCGTGCATGTGCGTGCGTGCGGGAGTCTACGTACATGCGAAGAAAAGCAGTGAGAAAGTAATTATGGAGAGAATCACTAATGATAGTTGAATTTTTTTAAGAAACAGATAAAAACTGCAGATTAAAATATCGAGAAGTTAATTTTTTTATAAAGAGTAAAGATGTAAATTTTGAAAGACTTGAGAGTTGGTCAGGTACTGTTTAACACACTACCACAGAGGGACCTTCATCGCCTGTACTGACAGTGGTAGGCGGGTTAAGGTAATTAATGCAGTTTAACAGTATTGAGTTAATGAAGGTATGACAAGTCAGGTGTATTCATCCTTAATTATAATCCAAGTTATTGAAAATTGTCAATCCTCAAGGTACATAGGTTCTCTGAGTGTTCAGTAATCCCAGAGAAAAAAATTATGGATTAGGATTAAGAAGTTTCGGAATATTATCTCAAGGAGAAATCTATCCTTGATGTAGGTTAGACGACATTGGCTTGTCATCAATGACGGATTTTTAGACGGACTTGAAAGCTTATTCATTGCTTATTTTTTTTCTCTTTTAGTTTTGGAACATCCTGAGCTTTTTGGGGGCGTTAGACGATTTCACGGTAAATATACCTAGTTATCTCTCTGGCTTCGTGACAACCATATCTAAATCTCCATGTTGGTTGCCTATGTCACCGGATAGATTTCTCTCACCCCTGTCACCGGCACAGCGGTTGTCCCAACGCAGCACTAACTCTGGCTCCACTCTTAAAAAACCAGGTCATTGTGGCGAATCACGCAGACAAATTGTCCCAGTTAGGCCGTAATATGTTCTCTTGTGGTGGTGGTGCTCCCTTGGTTGGCATGTGTTCGTGTTGCGAAAGCCGCTGTGTTGGAGACCTCATAACCTGGCTTGACCCTAAACCCATCCTGTGTTTGCCTCCTTGATGACGGAAGATGATGTTTGCACTTGTACCTGAATGGTGGTAGAGGAAAAGATTGTCCACGACGTAAGCATTCGCTGCAGCAGTCGTACCTTGCATTGATTTCATTGTAGACATCGGAGCAATTGAAACTGTTATTTTTGTGCATAATTACGTTTATAATTAATCTACGAACTGGAAATGGAAGCTTGACGATATTTTAGTCTTTCCTGAATTATTATTAAGTCGTGAGTCCAGGACAGACCAAAACGTCATCTAGTTTTCTTTTTCAGTGTGTGGGTTAGTTAGGCATTGTTGCAGTCACGGTGTTGTAACCTTTCTACGTGACTGCATTATTAACACGTAGTAGTGCACACGCTGAATAGTTCATTCATTGCTAGTGAACCATTCAGCTTAATAGTTCACATAGTGCTAGTGAATCATTCAGTTTTTTATTAATATTAAATTATCGTATAATATGGTACCTCTTTCCCCTACCACGAATGCTGGCGACAACACTAACAATGTTATGTTTGTGTGTCCCTGTTAGATTTTGTTGTTTATCAGGAGGTACTGTGATTAGAATTATTAATTGGAATAACAGAAGAATAATTCTTTTGGAGGGAATGCATGGATTAGAATGAATAAATTGTTTGTATCGTTTTCTTGAATTGACAGAATGGCCCCACCAAAGTGAATGTTTGTGATGGTTGTACATTTTTGGACTAAAATGATGAATTAGTGTTATTAATTAATAGCCTGCACAACGGAAAGACGTGAGTCAGTTAAGTACAAGGTGAGGGTGAGTTAGTACTTGCCTCTAACACAGTAAAATATGGTAGAGTGAAGGTGATGCAGTATAACTATGTGAAACACCAAAGTACTTCCCACACCCAGGGTGGTAGCCAGCCTAAGCTATTCACTCTGGGATGTTGGTAGTATTGTAGTGATTCTGATTTGTGACGTGTGGTGTTGCTTCTCCTAACCCCGCTATGTGTGTGCGCGCTGCTACTGCTACTGCTAATGATGTGCATATTGATACAATTAAGTCGTAGCCAGATGGGTCGGGGCAGGACCTCTGTAAACATTTTTTTTTTGTAAATTGATTTAAATTTAAATACTATTGTAAATAGAAGCGCCATCTGTGTGTTTATGTTGCGTTTATAATAAATATATTTTGCAAGTTATAAGCCGTTCATTTTTAAATAGGTTAGAAATGTGTTGTGTTTACGTACAGTGATTAACTGTGGAGAATGTGATGACCCGGTTGGCTTTATCACAGCTCCAGGTGTAGTGGTGAGGAGAAAGGAAGTAAAGCAGACTCCGAACTTTCACGTGCTTTGTTCGGTTGCACCTGGGCACTTGTCTGTGCCAAGTAGTGCCGCTTGCCATTGTTCACAAACATCTGTTACTATGAAGTAAATTGAATTAATTACTTATAGAGTACAGATAGAGCCGATTGGTGCTGTGTACTGTACAAACTGCTTCTTTACCTAAAAAAGCATTACAGTATGTATCAAATACCGTTTAGGACTGTATAATGACACAGTTCATAAGTATTGTGTATAAAATAATTTTGCACATTATTGTATTATATCATTACAATATTTGTTCAGGAAAATGCTATAAAATATTAATGTTACCTTCATCAATGAGTAGCGCAACAACCAAAGGAATTGTGGCGCTTAAAGGTCCGTCAAGTTTTCTTTCTTTACACTACCGAGTATTATGCTATATTGGCAGCGTCTAAATACAGGTTTAAGTAGTCATGTGAGTCGAAACCTCACGTTATAAACATAACATCAGTACAATACGTATGGACTAAAGTTTATCGTGTTTTGTTTTTTTCCGAGAAAAAATCTAGACCACTAGATTTTTTAAATATGTGACAGCAGGACATAACTCTTTACCTCTGTTATAAAAAACATTTTCAACCACAAGGCATCGATTATATTGCAAGACTTTTTGTCCGATGATATACACATGGCAGGTACTGCAGGACCTGATTTACTAATCTACATACTGCTAAAATAACTTAATACTATGGAAATGTGCGAGAAAGTGTGGAGCAGAGAGGCCATGAGTACAGTTAGAGATCACTATGTCAGCATCCATTGCCCAGGAGTTTTCAACATATTACCAGCAGATATCAGAAAATACTGCCGAAACTACGATACAAATTCCCAAGAAGCTGGGCAGCTTCCTTCTATAAGTGCCGAAACCTGGTTGTGATAGCTATATGGGCCCGTGGGTCACTATCACAAACATGGTTGACCTGGAAGCTTGACTTCAGGCAAAATTGGATGGGGGTGATAAAAGAGCCCTCGAAACGGTCACAGGTTAATCACAGGTATTTGTACACTAGCTTGTATCTCTCTTACTTTTTATTTTACGTTTAACATACTTTACACTTTTTGAAAAATGCACACATCTCAGAATCCAAGGCTACTAAATTTTCACCATCAGACAAGGGAACATCAAGAGAGGCAGTGCATATACTGCAGCCTGTCCTCATCATAATTCAGTTGATCTGTACATGCTATAGAAATACCTATTAACAGATCTCAGTACGTACGTATGTCTTTGTAAGACCTCTCTTTGATGAGTGTCATAATAGTAACTAAATAACTCGTAAACAGACTTCTCTTGGGCGTTTACGAGCATATTAAGGTTTGATATTGCGTATTGCCACAGTATATACAAATTAAACGCCTGCAATGTGTACCACATTGTCTTGGGTATTTAACTGAAATAGAATTAGAAAAGTGTGAAGCATGTCTTAAGTTTAACTTAGTTGACTTTAGTGGCTACCTTGTACGGGTTGCAGGAAAATTTTGAGGTCTAGGGCTAAGAAATCCAGAATAATCGGAAGAGAAACAAAGCTGCCTTAGTCACATGTTTTAAGAAAAATGTTCATTAACACCAAATGAAACACTGTTGTGGTGAAATAATTGGTCAGAGTGAGCGGTGATAAAACTGTCTTTGGTAAAGTGATTATGTGTGTACTGCCCCATCAGTCTGAGGAGAAAGTAGTAGGAGTCGAAGAATTGATATGGTGTTTGAAATGCATAAAGACTTCAATTAAGGACACTAAAAGGATAAATAGTCAGAGCGGAAGAGTTTGGATTCTAACAAGAAAACCTGAGAGCCTGAGAATTTAAGATAGTGGAAGAAATTTTCGTTATAGGCCAGAGAACAAAGATTTCTGTGACCAGTTTCATAAGTTCTTCTATCCTCGTAGCTTTGTCTGTGGCCCAGCTTCCTTGTTGAATGCGTGATCAAACAGTCTGATGCTGTTACCAGTCAACTGGTCCGAAGCCTCATTTCTTTCAGATAACTGGAAGAAGGTAAACTGCATCGAGAGTCTTCAGGAGTAGGCATTCGATGCAACTTCAGAATAAATGATACAACGTCACTTCTGAAGGTTGCCAGGAGATGCTTGACCTCATGGGCACACAAAAGGGAGCAGATGGTGCCTTGTTGCTATCTGTAAGACAAGCTGCTGAAAATTGCCACCTGCAGCTGGTGCTGCAGGTGGTAATTTTCAGCAGCTGCAGGTGGCAGTCATTAAGTCTGCAGGCTGCATATATAATCTACACCAAAGATACTTTAATCCCTAAAATAAGAACAAAAAATATTTGGCATATATATATAAGATCACATACCTTTCGGTATATATAACCCTGTCTGATTGCCAAGTAGCTTGTATTGATAGAGGTCTACTGGCATATGTAAATTTTTGATAGTGTCACAATCTCGCAATACAACTGGAAAGTTCACCTAAAAACCCGATGATACAGTGTCTTATGACGTATCAAATGTTGCTGTTCATTAAGTGCTTTCTTTTGTTCTCCTTTATACCATATTTTTATTGCGTTTTTTTCAGAGCTGCAGTCAATAATTATATCGCTGGTTTTCTTCCTATAATGTTATGAAGCTCTGTCAACCACTTTCTTAATCTAGAATCAAAACCTGTACTCCAGAACGTATCTTAGCGCCTAGAAAAAAAACCCAGGGAAGTTAAAACCGAGAGATCTATTATGTTAAGCATTTTTTATAAAAAAAAGGCCATATTTTAAAACTGCTGAGTGCATTACTGTAATGCTGAGTATCGTAATACTGAGTGCATTACTATAATGCTGGGTACAATAATGCTGAGTGCATTGCGACAGTTGTGAGAAATCCAGGTTACAGCAACATAGTTTACAGTATTCTCGTATTGTTGTTCTAATCTCGTATTATAGTTTACACTTATTTCTCACAAAAGTGATAAGAGTTTTTTATTTTTATTTTGTGGTAATTACACACGATTTTGATGAGGTCATCTTGGGATACTTGGACAATACTGTTTCGTTAGATTCAGCTGTATTCTGAAAATTATCTACTTTTCAGAAATATGTAATTATTCAAAGTTATATTGAATGATGGAAATAAATCCTTGTAATGTGGAATTAAAGACTGGCATGTGAGGAGACATGGACACTGAACGTGTAGTGATAACAAGAGATCAGAGTTAGACACTGCCATGGACACTGAACGTGTAGTGATAACAAGAGATCAGAGTTAGACACTGCCATGGACACTGAACGTGTAGTGATAACAAGAGATCAGAGTTAGACACTGCCATGGACACTGAACGTGTAGTGATAACAAGAGATCAGAGTTAGACACTGCCTTCTCATTATGATGAAGCATGTGCAGTGATTCTGACCTTATCAAAAATAACGATGATTCTTACTCTTTCCGAGTAGTGTTTCCTTTCTCCGACCTCCCGACCCCCTGCTCCGGATTCACGATCCCCGATCTCCGACCCCCGGTCCCCGGTCCCCGGCCCCCGGCCCCCGGCCCCCGGCCCCCCCCCCGCCCCCGGCCCCGCCCCGTCCCCGGCCCCGACTCCAACCCCCGACCCCCAACCCCAACCCCAACCCACCCCCGGCCCAGCTTATGCACAATGGATAAATGCTTTAAATTTAGCGCAGTGTATGAATATTTTAATATACATTATGTATTAGATTTATGGAGTAGAGTAGCTGACACAGCTTCAGTAGGTGAGAACACACAGTGAAGCTGTGTAAAACATCCACACACAGTGTTAACGTATAGCAACTACTTAACAAAACAGCACTATATTAAGAGCATGACACAAACAAGGCAGTGGTAGCTACCGACATCGAAATCTCAATCTTGGTAATGAGTAATTATATAAAAGAATTTTTGAGATAGAACTTGCAGTCTTGACACAATATGCTTTTTATTAAGGTTATTTATAAGTGTAGATTTGTAAGATCTGTTATTTAGTTACGCAACGGACATGTTTTGTTAAAAAATAAAGTATTATTGTAAATAGAAAATTAATTTGATTTTAATTAATTTCATTAACAAAATAGTAACCCAACGTTAGTACAGGTGTACCTCTTGTTTCTAATATTTTAAAGTAGACTTATCCAGTTACAGAGTTCTTTTTTGATAGCTCGACCAGGATAATCACTTCTTCCCAGGCTGCTGCGAGCCTCAGTGTTGCCAGAAGAATGTGAACCTACCTCGGGAAGCCTGAGCGCAAGACTTGGGAAAGTAGTGGGTGGAGGTAGGATGGTAGAGCAACCACTAAGTGTAAGACTTGGGAAATAGTGGGTGGAGGTAGGATGGTAGAGCAGCCACTGAGTGTAAGACTTGGGAAAGTAGTGGGTGGAGTCAGGATGGTGGAGCAACCACTTAGTGCAAGAGAAAAGGAGTGGGTGGAGGTAGGATGGTAAATTTTAGAAGGGTGGTCAGGATGACTGGTACAGCTAACTAACCTCTAGCCTCTTCCTGCTGCAGGATGGCCTACAATCCACTCCTTCAACCACCTCGCCGACTTCATCACTGCGACAGATAGAAGCGCCCCCGCCGACCACGCAGGAAACAAAAGCATTGGTAAGTTTCTTGGTTCCTTTTTCATGTTACATTTCACTTTTCCCATGACTTCCACAGGTGGAGTATATTAATTATTGTGGCCCATCAATGTAACTTGGACAATGGGAGGCATTCTTCCAAGACATTGTATGTGTAATAAGACAGAGGAAGGAAGATATAAGCAGTGTTTTCTAGTGGTCAGTGGAGAACAACATGATGTTCAATGGTGATAAGTTCCAACTGCTTAGGTATGGAAAGAATGAAGAACTCAAAAGAAACACCATATACATATCTCAAGAGGATCATCAAATAGAACGAAAGGAACACGTGAAAAACTTGGGAATAATTATGTCAGCTGACATTTCTTTCAAAGAACATCTTAAGACAAAGATCACGACATTCAGGAGGATGACGGGGTGGGTAATAGAGAACCTTCAAAACAAGGGAAATAATGCTAATGGTGACAGTTTTCAATCGCTAGTGCTCCCTAATTTAGAATATTGCTCGGTGTTGACGGCCCCATTCAAGGCATGAGAAATACCAGATCTGGAACAAATACAGAGATCACTTACGGCCCACATAGACCCAGTAAAGCATTTAAATTACTGGGAACGCCTTAAAATCTTGAACATGTACTCACTGGAGCGGAGAAGAGAGAGAAACATGATAATATATACCTAGAAGGTACTCGAGTGCTTGGTCCCAAATCTGCACACTCTTATAACAACATACTGGAGCAAGAAATATGGGAGGAAGTGCAAAATAAACCCAGTGAAAAGTAAGAGTGCGGTGGGCACAGTCAGGGAACACTGTATCAACATTAGTGGCCCCAGATTTTTCAGCATCTTACCAGAAGATATCAGAAACTGCTGGAACAAGCGTAGAGGTCGTCAAGAGAAAACTGGGCAAGTATTTTCACCAGGTGCCATATCAATCAGGTTGTGATGGATATGTAGGACAGCGGGCCTTCATCAACAACCTGGTTGACCAGGCAAAGCACCAGACGAGCCTGGCCCATGACTGTGTTCCGGGAGTAGTAAGACTCGAAATTCATTAAAGGTATATCAAAGGTATGGATAATTGAAGAAGGACGCTCGCAAATAAATTTAACGTTCCTTGTGTGACTTTTACTCCCATAAAGTGTCTGCTCCGTATTTATCCAGTTGTTGTTATTTAAAAGAAAATAAAACATACTGGTCAGATACTTAAGAATTTATATGTTTAGTTGTTAGAATATCGTAGGGAAGACGGTATGAGACAGAACGCTGAAAAAACCATGAGTGTGTTTTCAAAGTGCCGACGTTTCCTTTCCCGTGTTCTCTAAATTGTTTATAAGAATACGTTTTACGTAGGAGGACAGGTTGATATGAAGCCAAGCGGCGTAAAGCACTGTACCTCTGGCCTGGCTTATGGCTGGGTGTAAATTTAGATATTCAGGGATTGCTGGCAGACTAGTTTATTTATCTTTCCTGTCAGTATATGAGCTACAGGCATCTGGCTCTAGACCAGGTGAAAGCAAGGTAAAGGACGTAACTCACCCAAAGTACAGCTTTTGCTTGTATTGAACTTTGTTATGATGTTCTTATAGTATTCGTTAGGAAAAATCACTTGATCCGAGGGTCTTTTTTTTTAAACATGGTAACCTCTTCGGTAGTACAGTTGGTCCCCTGGCGTAGGCGCGGCAAGAAGCAAGCACTGGTGTGCCCTGCTGACACAGCTGCGAATCTAGTAGCCATTGATCTTTTGTTGGTCCAGTGTAGAGGAACAACTGGCTTAATTATCACATTCATTAATTTAGTGTGGAGTGATCTAGATGTGAGACTAAGGTTAGAGAGACTGAGATTGTAAGAATGTAGAGTAGATTAAATTTTGCCTCAGAAGCGGCTACTCTTTTTACACCCCATATCCATCCTGTGAAGAAGGGGTGCACAATGGATACTATGGTTACACAAAGGACTAGGAACTTGCACCAAAAGGGGTTAACATCTAGATTTATATCTACACTTAACCGGTTGCAACAAAATTTAGGATATCTGCCTAATAGGTCTGTTATCTTATTTTCATTAATAAGATACTTTGACATACTGTAGGATATACTGTTTATCTCTGTATTCCTCATTAAGTGGACAGTGAAGCACACAGTCTTCAAGATAATGACCATAGGACTGACCACTTACTTTGCATTTAGTTTGATCATTACTCAATACCGCACATAAGACAAAAGCTTCGCGACGTTTCGGTCACTTGGACTTGACAAAGTCACAAAGCACGTGTGACTTGTCAATGGTTCCAAGTCGGACCGAAACGTTTATGCTTTTCTTCTTATGTCGGTTATTGGTAGTTCCAGTCAACGAGTTATTGTGCTTATTTGTTATTAGTTTGATTCATCTGTGTGTCTGCTAACTGCCGTAGTACTTGTAATCAAGCCTAATCCTGTAATTAGTTGTATTGAATTATTTTTACTTTTGCTCCTAACATTACTTCATAGCTAGACACGATGACTAGGTTATATTACATTTGCTAGTGAAGTAATTGTTTTTGGGTAACTACCAGCTTAACAAAAACGAGTATTCAGTGTGTGGATCTTATTTTAGCTTTATCCTGGCTAAGTACTTCAGTGAGTAGCAACACGATGACTTATGATATGAACGCATAGTGAAATTACCACTATTATGTAGAGTGAGAAGTACAAAAACTGGTTCACACACAGGGGGCTATCCTATACATTACCTAAGTATCGTGCATGGGCATCCACTCTTCCTAATATGAACGGAGACATCTCCACTATCACTAACTTAAGTGGGGACACACACCATGGGTCACCATCACAAACATGAGTGAGGAGGATACAGTTCACCTCACAGTATCTCATGGCGCAGGTTACGTAGTATTGAAGTCTTCTCCACTATCAGAGATAATGTGTATATGCTGAAGCACGAACCTAATGTATATTCATTGTTGCTGCGTATTTTTGACGGATTTGGGGGAGTGAGGGACAAGTGGTATTTTCGGTACGTGCTGTCTGCCAAACTTTGTCCATTATTCAAATTCCACCTCAACCACAATCTGTTTGTTCTTTGCAGACTGTTTTTGTTTACTCCAAAGCACATTTTTTACTTTGTCTTAGAAGTTATTTTGAATGTTGTGAAATGTACAGGAGTTATGTATTATGTGGGTAGTGACAAGAATGAGGGCAGTAGTGTGGGTAGTGACAAGAATGAGGGCAGTAGTGTGGGTAGTGACAAGAATGAGGGCAGTAGTGTGGGTAGTGAAGATGAGGGCAGTAGTGTGGGTAGTGACAAGAATGAGGGCAGTAGTGTGGGTAGTGACAAGAATGAGGGCAGTAGTGTGGGTAGTGACAAGAATGAGGGCAGTAGTGTGGGTAGTGACAAAAATGAGGGCAGTAGTGTGGGTAGTGACAATGAGGGCAGTAGTGTGGGTGGTGACAAGAATGAGGACAGTAGTGTGAGTAGTGACAATGAGGGCAGTAGTGTGGGTGGTGACAAGAATGAGGGTAGTAGTGTGGGTAGTGACAAGAATGAGGGTAGTAGTGTGGGTGTGACAAGAATGAGGGCAGTAGTGTGGGTAGTGACAAAAATGAGGGCAGTAGTGTGGGTAGTGACAATGAGGGCAGTAGTGTGGGTGGTGACAAGAATGAGGACAGTAGTGTGAGTAGTGACAATGAGGGCAGTAGTGTGGGTGGTGACAAGAATGAGGGTAGTAGTGTGGGTAGTGACAAGAATGAGGGTAGTAGTGTGGGTGGTGACAAGAATGAGGGCAGTAGTGTGGGTGGTGACAAAAATGAGGGCAGTAGTGTGGGTGGTGACAAGAATGAGGGCAGTAGTGTGGGTGGTGACAAGAATGAGGGCAGTAGTGTGGGTAGTGACAATGAGGGCAGTAGTGTGGGTGGTGACAAGAATGAGGGTAGTAGTGTGGGTAGTGACAAGAATGAGGGTAGTAGTGTGGGTGGTGACAAGAATGAGGGTAGTAGTGTGGATAGTGACAAGAATGAGGGTAGTAGTGTGGGTAGTGACAAGAATGAGGGTAGTAGTGTGGGTAGTGACAAGAATGAGGGCAGTAGTGTGGGTTGTGACAAGAATAAGGGCAGTAGTGTGGGTAGTGACAAGAATGAGGGCAGTAGTGTGGGTAGTGACAAGAATGAGGGCAGTAGTGTGGGTGGTGACAAGAATGAGGGTAGTGTGGGTAGTGACAAGAATGAGGGTAGTGTGGGTAGTGACAAGAATGAGGGTAGTAGTGTGGGTAGTGACAAGAATGAGGGTAGTGTGGGTAGTGACAAGAATGAGGGCAGTAGTGTGGGTAGTGACAAGAATGAGGGCAGTAGTGTGGGTGGTGACAAGAATGGGGGTAGTAGTGTGGGTAGTGACAAGAATGAGGGTAGTAGTGTGGGTAGTGACAAGAATGAGGGTAGTAGTGTGGGTAGTGACAAGAATGAGGGTAGTAGTGTGGGTAGTGACAAGAATGAGGGCAGTAGTGTGGGTAGTGACAAGAATGAGGGCAGTAGTGTGGGTAGTGACAAGAATGAGGGCAGTAGTGTGGGTAGTGACAAGAATGAGGGCAGTAGTGTGGGTAGTGCCAAGGATGAGGGCACTATTGTGGGTCATGGCAAGAATGAGGGAGGTAGTGTAGATAGAAGAATGAGGGCAGTAGTGTGGGTAGTAACAAGAACGAAGGCGGTAGTGTGGGTGATGAGAGGAATGAGGGCAGAAGTGTGGGTATTTAGGAGAATGATGGCAGTAGTGTGGCCTGGTCCCAGACCCACCCTCCTGGTTGTTGCCTGAGCTACTAGGCTGTTAGTGCTGACCGCATAGTCCAACTTTACGCCACTGCCCGACTGATCATGAAATGATTTGAAGAACATATCAAGCTTCTTCTTGAAGACAGCCAGCAGTGTATTGATAATTTCCCTTTTATGCGAAAGGGGTGACCTCTTATATATATATATATATATAGTCTTATCGGGTTCTCAATGTGAATGTGAGATCCTCTGACTTCAGTCCAAG